TGTTTTAACTTAACCCCAGTGCTTTTATCAAAAGCAGGAAATTCACATAGGTACAATATTATTTTCAGATCTATAGACCTTATTTGAATTTTGCCAATTGTCTTATGAATGCCCATTTTCTGACCCAATTCAGAACTATACTTGTATTGAGGCATCATGTCTCTTTAGCCTCCTTTGGTCTGGAACAGTTCATGACCTTGATAATTTTGAAGAGTTCTAGCTAGCTATTTTGTGGGATGCCCCTCGATCGGGGACTTTGTGATGTCTCTTTCAGGTTACGAATTTCTGGCAGGAACATCACAAGAATGAGGCTCTCTCCTTTGTGCATCGTATCAGAAGCACAGAATGTTAATGTGTCCCACTCCTGATGTCACCTTTGATCACTTGGATAAGGTAGTGTCTGCCAGATTTCTTCCTCTCTGTAAAGTTACTATTTTCCCTTTGCAATTAATAAGTATCCTACCTGGAGACACTTTGAGACTTTGAAAATATCCTGTTTCTGGTCCTATTTCTCCTCACTAATTTCAGCATCCACTGCCAATTCTTGCTTCAAACAATTATTTCTCCACTCTCCCCATGCCTTACCTTCTTCCTGGACACACAGCTGAAGTACAGTTCCTAGTCCTGTTACATCTAGGAAGGATGATACAACTAATTCTAGCCCATAGAGCTATAATTATAAAGGCTATATGCCCCTTCTAGGTTTACCCCCACCAACAAATGTCTCCCATTATTCTCTTTATTTATTTATTTATTTTGAGATGGAGCCTTATTCTGTCATCCAGGCTGTAGTGCAGTGGCATAATCTTAGCTCACTGAAACCTCTGCCTCCCGGGTTCAAGCAATTCTCCTGCCTCAGTCTCCCTAATAGCTGGGACTACAGGTGTGTGCCACCACATCCAGCTACTTCCTTGTATTTTTAGTAGAGACAGGGTTTCACCATGTTGGCCAGGTTGGTCTCGATCTCTTGACCTTGTGATCCACCATCCTTGCCTTCTCAAAGTGCTGGGATTATAGGCATGAGCCACCGCACCCAGCCACGTCTTCTATTATTCTACAAGGTCTTTGCTTGTTGGTCAATTGGATGCATAAGATCCTGCAGAGAGCTCTAAGAAGGCTTTGGTAGTTGTGGAACCACTAGACCTTAGGTTCTGTACCATTCAGGAAGTCCTATGAACCTGGATGAAGAAAATCCTTTAACTGGAATTTGATATTTCCCTTTGTGAATACAGGCAGCAGCAACAATAGTGTTCGCAATACCAATGTCTTTATCACCAAGATAAATCACTTATATTTCATTTCACATTGTACTCGGTGCAGACATCTTGGAATATATTTCCCTATCACTAACTTGAAATTAACTTAGCATTTTAATTATTAGATCTGTCACTATATCTTTTTTTTCTTTTTGTCACATTTAGAAACTGTCCTCAAAGGAGATTTATTGACTTCATCAGACTGCTAAAGGTGTCTAAGACCCAAAATAGGTTAAGATGGAAGGAGCAGTTCCCTCAGTCACTACACTTTGAGGACCAGCTAGGGAAGCAGGTCGGGAATGTCTACAATAGAATTCGCATGCAAGAGAAATAAACTTTTACTCTCTTAAGCTGAGATATATGCTGTTATTTGTTCAGCAACTATCTTATCCTGACTAATCAGAGAATAAAGCTGTAAATGTGGAAATTATATGCCTGGGAAGATGGTTGAGGCCATGGGACTGGATATGATCTTTAAAAGGGGAGACAAGGCAAGTACTGAATTTGGGGCAATTGCTACATTTTGGAAAGGAAGACAAAGGAAACAGATGAAAGAATGGTCTGAATAGAAGAAAGAGAACCAGAAATACCCGGGGTAAAAGATGCTACGAACCTGAAACCATATTTTCATTTCCCAGATGTCTTCATATAGAATAATTCCTTATGTGTTGTCTGGAAAGATAAGAAACTAAACCATTTCAGGAGATTTTCTCAACTACATCTGTCATTTACAAGAAGACAGGTATTGTACTTCTCTAACTCTAGATTTCCGTGTCTATGAAAAAATTGCAATGCAGAATACAGAAAGTAATGTAAGTAAACATATGCAAAAGAACCTACTACAACTTCTGACATGTACCTATCACTCGGTAAGTTAGCTCTCTTTCTCCCCAATCTTTCCCCCTTCTTACCCTCATTAGCAATCCATTTCATGTATTAGAGTTTAAAAGAACTAAAGAGTATATTAAGAAAACTATAATTTTTTTCTTAAGTCAAAAGCACAGCATTTTAGACATTATACTTGCTATAGTATTTATAGCTATACAAGCTATAAAACTAAGCAAAATCATTATTAAAATTCAAATCGAATCTAGATATTTTATTTGGAAACAGATTGAGTGAAAAAGAAGAAGTGTGTGATTATTTTTTTATTTTTTATTTTTTTGTTTTGTTTTGAGACAGGGTCTCACTCTATTGCCCAGGTTGGAGTACAGGGGTGCCATCTTGGTTCACTGTAACCTCCACCTCCCAGGCTCAAGCAATCCTCCCATCTTAGTCTCCTGGGTAGCTGAAATTATGGGTTTCTGCCACCATGCCTGGCTAACTTTTGTATTTTTAGTAGAGACGGATTTCACCATGTTGGCCAGCCTGGTCTCAAACTCCTGAGTTCGGACAATCTGTCAGCCTGGGCCTCCCAAAGTATTGGGATTGCAGGCACCAGCCATAGCGCCTGCCTCACCTGTAGTTTTTAAATGTCAATCAAAAGGAATCAAGACACCAAACCACCACTTAATGGAGTTTAGTATCAAAGTCTTCGTGAGCTATGCAAAAATGTATGTTGGTCCTCAGGAAACCCACCTCTGATCGCTCCTTCTTTGTCCTTAGTACCTGGTTCCTTATCTCATGCTCTCCTAACACAAATGCAATGAAAAGGGGAGGAGAGAGGGGCTTCAAAAATCACGAATTTTATACAGGTGCATATTTTATTGTTAATATCTTTCAATACTGGATATGGATATCTTGCATATAAATATTAAGCCACATATGCATTCTTTAAAATTCAATTACAAAATCCAGTGAAAAATGAAAATATAGATTAATATTACTACAGCATGTGAGGGAAAAACTGTCTCTCATCTACTTTGAAAAGTTTTATTAAGTGGCTCTTGGAATCGCCATTTCCAAAACCTGGATATGCGTAAACCAATACATTTTGATAACACTTCTGTAACAGAACCCCTTTCTCCTCTCACCCTAGAGTTTCTTGAACTGAGGAATGAGTGATATCCTGGACTAGAGGCTGAGAGATTGTTTTCATCATCAACAACCATCTGTGCAGAATGACAATAGAACTGAAAAGATTCTGACAAAGGCTACCAAAGAATTTTCCAGATAATTCAGACTCTTTCTATGAAAGGTGCCAGAATCTGAGTGACAAGTCCAGGCAACGCCTCCTTCTTGTAGTTTTAGGAAGAAAGTGCTGCCATCTACAGGGTTGACATGGAACAAATGCTTAAAAAAAAAAAAAAAAAAAAGGTGGCGAATCTACCAGATCTTAAGGTTGTAATTAGCTACAGAAAAAAAAAAGCAATAGCATGGCTAACGAGAGTAACACAACGTGTTCACTTTTAAATTTTTATTCCAAATATTCTACTTCTTTTCTATTCAATACAGCTGCCACTAGCCACATGTGGCTATGAAGCACTTGAAATGTAGCTAGTGTGACTGGGAATAGATTTTCTAAATTTTCATCTCATTTTAATTAATTTCATTGATTTAAATGTTAAAACTGATATTCAATTCAGTCATTGAAAACTTTTAAGTATGCTTGTAACAACTTAGGTGTCTGAATCTACTTTTTCAAATGCAATTTTAAGTTATCTATCTACAGATGGAATATTCCTGAAAACATAGCATCTGAATTGCCTATGCGCTAAGTGAAAAATGTACACATTTCAAATGTTTGGTGCAAAGCCAAAAGAATGTAACAGTTCTCATGAATAATTGTTATATTTAGTACATGTTGAAATTAATATTTAGACATTATGAGAAATAAAATATATTATTAAAATTACTTTTAGTGATTTCTTTTCACTATTTTAATGTGATTACTAGAAAATTTTAAGTGACGTGTGTGGCTGATATATTTCTATTGTACAGCACTATTCTAATTGATTCAAAAAAAGTAAATATGTTTAGTTGTTTAGTGCTTACAGAATTACATGAAGTGCTATATTTACAAATGTCCTATTTGGCCTCAAAATTAAAGCAAACATGTAACAGACATTGGTGCTTGTATGGGTTAATGTAACATAATTTTTAGAGGAAATGATCTCGTTCAGTCATCAGTGATCATCACTGTGACTGATAGACATCTCAAAACGGTAGAAAAATTTGGATCTTGATGAACGTAACAACATAACCATTTTTATCATGGTTAATGAACTGGCGACAGGAAGCCCACGTTGTAAAGAAATTCCACTAAACTGGTGTCCTGTTCCACTTCTTCCATCGATTTCCAGCATTGTCTCCCCCACACTGTATTTTCATTGCAAAGACTGACTCGCCGCGCTCAGCAGAGCCCACTGGCCATCCTCACAAGCGCAGGGCAGATTTCTCCCTGTAGTGCACCCCTTGGCCTTTTGTGGCTGAAGCAGTCCTTCTCCAGAGTAAAAATGCCTCCTTCATCAAGAATGTCTTCTTCCAATCTAGAACATCAAAGTCCTATCTCCCCTTTCCTTCTTTTTCCAGACTCCATACATTTAACATATTCTTCTGTTACTCAGGCAGAAATAAATAAAGAAATAAACCAGATAGGCCCATGACTCAGTTGGCAGATGCCCACACAAAGATAGGATGGCCAACCGTCCTGATTTATTTGCCCAGGACTGTCCCAGTTTTAGTATTGAAAGTCCCACCTTCCAGGAAACCCCAGTCCCTGAGCAAACCAGGCCGGTTGGTCGCCCTACTTGCCAATCTCGCCTGTTGACAGCAAAGCCAGAGACAGGAGGGCCACACCCCCGCGCTCTGCTCCAGCAACAGGGAACAGCCGGTTTCTCTGCTGAGTTTAGCCTCCTTCCCTTCACCCACATGGTCGCCCTTCGCCTTCCTGGCCCCCTAAGTCACCTGTGGCCTTGTCATCCTCCAGGCATCACTCCCTGTCCAAGGCCTTCCGTCGCCCCTCTGGCGCAGGTAAGTTGTGCCTAACCATGTTGTATTTTAATTCTCTGTCTAGTCCCCAAGCTACCATCAGCTGTAAGCTCAGAAGTCTTGTTCATTCTTGTATTTCTGCCTTATATTAGCTGAACTTCTGAGTGAATGTTGATGCGTCTTAGAAAGGCACCTGGGCTCTGGATAATTTTCCTGGCCTTCTTCAAGGAATACAAACCGCTTCTGACATAACGACCAACCACAAACTGTTTTCACGACTGGACGTCTGCGTTTCCCAGGCTTGGAGAATCTTTCCCCAGTCTCAGTCTCTCCAACACAGTAGGAAACACCATCCTGTCAGTAACCCCTGACTAACACCACCCCATTTCACCCCTAGGGACAAAAAAAACGATGCAGATATATGTACACACATCAAAAAGCCACAGCAACAATAACCAAAAATTCCTTGCTTTCATTTTCTACACTGCCTAGTGATTTTTGCCTTTGGGGGTTGGAATGGATCAATATGCATATTTCTTTCCAATGTGGGAGAAAAGAATGCACTGAAGAATGCAGCAAAGTAGAGAGAATGTGCAGAAATAATGAAAGAAGTATACCTAGAGGTTATTACATACAGAAAGGCAACAAGTGACCTCAAAGTGGCAGGTAGTGACGAGGATGCAAAAAAATATCAGACACAGTCCTACTTGTCCAGGAGCCACAGTGGTTATAATTTGGAAATTACGTAAGTATGTTTTCTAGATATTACATAACAGGTGAGGTAATAAATTGCTCTTAGCAATACAGAGAAAATTGTAAATATTCAGCAAACATTTTACTGTATTAATTTATGTATATTTACTTTATGTATTTCAAACTTATCTTTTAATATATTTAAAATTAAATGTACATATCTTTATATGTTGAAATATATTCAAAGTGTTTAAACTATTAATTATTTTTTGGGGGACGTAGTCTCTCACCCTGTTGTCCAGGCTGGAGTGCAGTGGTGTGATCTCTGCTCACTGCAGCCTCCCAGGTTCAAGTGATTTTCTTGCCTCAGCCACACATAATAGCTGGGACTACAGACACATGCCATCACACCTGGCTAATTTTTATACTTTTAGTAGAGATGGGGTTTCATTTTGTTGGCCAGGCTGGTCTCAAACTCCTGACCTCAAGTGATCCACCCACTTCAGCCTCCCAAAGTGCTGGGATTACAGGTGTGAGCCACGACATCCAGCCTATTAATAAATTTTTAAATGTTAGATTGTTAATGATCATTTCTGAATAGTAATTATGTAAAATAACTTTACTGTATGATTCTCAGAGCTCTATCAAGTAGGTTCTATAATTATCTCCATTTTACTGAGAACTCGTGGCACAGAAAAGTGAAGAAACTCATCCAAGGTCATAGAATTTGTAAATGAAAGAGCTGGGATTGAAAGAGGCCCCTTAAAGGTGACAGCAACCCCCTGGGATGCATAGAAACATGTTCACACCACTCTCCAATAATCAAATAGCACACCAGCAAAACTAATTTATAAAAAATAAGCTGCAAAGTCTATCACAGTTTCAGCATGCACCACGCTGTTTTTCTACAGGCTGTACCACATGCCCCCAATGGATGCTCTAAAAATACGCACACACCTTAGTAAATGTTTATTTCTTATGAGATAAGCCCATGCATAAAAGAGTAGATAATGGTGTCAGAGTAACAAATTCATTTTCTCCTTCATTTAAATTAGAATGATAGTTACTTTTCACCTGAAAGCGGTCTTAGAAGTGTTGTCAACCTTAGCTGCTCATTGGAAGCACCTGGAGAACTTTAAAAGCCACTAAGGTCTGGTTACCATCTACAGAGGTTGTGATTTCACTGATCTGAGAGACATCCTGGGCACTGGGACTTTTAACCTCCCCAGAGGGTTCTGACGCACTCAAGGTAAAGAAGCACTGTCTTGTTTAGAGTAAGCAGAGGATTTTCAAGGTGTGTCTCCAGATGCCATCAACTTCACCTGGGAGCTTTTTAGAAATGCAAATTATTGCACTCCCTCCCGGATTGACTAAGAAATTTTGAGGGTGGGGCCCAGCCTTCAGTGTCATAACACACCATCCAAATGATTCTGATACACACTTGAGTTTGAGAACCACTGATGGAGCTTAATTCCTTCATTGAGAAATAATTGAAATCCAGAGAATTAAATTTGTTTCAGGTCACATGACCCATCCATGGTGGGGCTGGCTATAAAAGGATAACGACAGCTAGCATTTATTGAGGGCTTACTGTTCTAGATGTATTGTCCTGCACTACATTGTTTTCTGAGCATCTTATCATCATAACAGTGTCTACCAGTTTCTCTAGCACTTTCCCAAGAGCTTGTAGCTTCGCACATAGCCTTCATCTAGTTCTCCCAGCGGTCTGTAGGATAAGCATGTGCAGTGCGTTTACTGTCATGGGTTGCGACGGGGAAGAGCAGGTGCTGGGGGCAGCAACTAACCTAGGAGGACTCAGGAAAGCACCTCATGAGAGAGCATTAAGGGAGCAGGCTGGGGGAGTGCAAAGAAGCCCGCCTGCAAATTCCATATTTACCACAATAGATCCAGGAGGGAGAAAACAAAGGAGGAGCCAAAATATTCTTCATAAGATAAAGAAAGGACACAGAGAATAGGACTGCTCTGAAGATGGAAATAAGGAGAAAAGAAGACAGGGGAGTACATTATGCTGAAGTCTGAGTTGGACCATGGATTCCTAAGAGGAGGGATATTTAATATTCTATTTCTAGATGCTTCTTAGTTGGGATATAGACCCTTTCTTCAGTAGAGTTTTCCACCAACACTGCCTTGTTGGGTGGCCTTTTGTGGGATTCAAAGAAAGGCAATGAGTTGTACCTCTGGACCTACCCAGTCCGTGTGGAACACAACTGTGACCCAAGGGAGGGTTAAATGACACGCCAGGTACTAATTCAGAAAGGAAAAACTGACAGCCAGAGAGAGCCCTGAAGAATGTCTCTTGGGAAAATGTATACATGGAAGCATTAGGGGAATTGGTCTTCACAAGGTGAAGCTTGAACCAACCTTCTCTAGATTTTCTATGGTCAGGTGACTCCTGATGTCAGCTTACTCACACATATGCATGTGTGTTTCAGTTAAGACATTTAATAAGCTATGCATAGACTCATCCGTAGGATAGATTTAGATACGTTTTATTAAGCTTTTACTGATTTTACAATATTCTGAATTTTACCAACCCTTTCAGGTACTAACAAAGGTATTAGTTTGGTGCAAAAGTAACTGGGGTTTTGCCATTACTTTTTCTTTTTCTTTTTTGAGACAGAGTGTCGCTCTATCACCCAGGCTGGAGTACAGTGGCATGATCCCAGCTTACCACAACTTCTGCCTCTCAGGCTCAAGTGATTCTCCTGCCTCAGCCTCCAGAGTAGCTGGGATTACAGGCGCACACCACCACACCCAGCTAATTTTTTAATTTTTTGTAGAGACGGGGTTTCGCCATGTTGGTCAGGCTGGTCTCCAACTCCTGACCTCATGATCTGCCCACCTGAACCTCCCAAAGTGCTAGGATTACAGGTGTGAGCCAGCATGCCCAGCCACGCCATTACTTTTAATGGCAAAACCACAGTTACTTTTGTGCCAACCTGAAGGATCCAATCTGATGATGAGAGAAGCACAGCTGCACTTTCCTAAGAATGACCCCTGAGGAAGGTCTGTTCCTTCTTGGGTATACACATCAGCAAAAATATTTGTAAAATGTAACCATAGTGCTGTGTCATTTTATCAAAACTGAAAACAGGTCCACGACTTCCATTATCTAGATATCAGCTACCAACTGGTGTTCTGCAGTGTTAAAGCTGCAGGGCGTGGTGGGGAAGGCTAAGGAGATATTACCCTAGTTTAAATTGTTTGGACACCTCAAATATCCTAAATAGCCTTTAATTTATAAACATCATTTTAATAGATCAGCAGGAGCATACTGTCTTATGCAATGGAACTCATAAGAATATTCTGGTTTTATGTTTGGGTTTCTGGCCCATGGAGTTTTTGAGAGGTTTATCATTATTACTCCCAAGTTGCTAGTAAATTTCCTTGAACTCATTGTGATGACGAGAACACTGGAAAGAGATTAGGAAAGGCACCTTTTACTGTTCAACTCTGCCAGCAAATCAGTGAGACCCTGGGTGAGTCACTGCCCATCTTCACCCTCAGACTCCTCTTCTGTTTTTTTGTTTGTGTCTTTTGTTCGTTTGTTTTTGAGACAGAGTCTCGCTCTGTCGCCCAGGCTAGAGTGCACTGGCGTGATCTCGGCTCACTGCCACCTCCGACTCCCGGGTTCAAGTGATTCTCCTGCCTCAGCCTCCCAAGTAGCTGGGATTACAGGCACCCACCACCACGCCCAACTAATTTTTGCAGTTTTAATAGAGATGAGGTTTCACCATGTTGACCAGGCTGGTCTTGAACTCCTGACCTCAAGTGATCTGCCCACTTCGGCCAACCAAAGTGCTGGGATTACAGGCATCAGCCACCATGCCTGGCCATCCTCTTCTATAAAGGGAAGATTGGGCTAGGTATTCTCTAAAGTCCCCAGGAACTCTCAGACATGCTGTATTCTTCTGATCCTAAATGCATTATTATCATGGCTTCTCTTGAAGTCTTATAGAACAGCTAATGAAGAACAAATTGGTTGAAGACTATTAAATAAACACATAAAAAGGAACTGAGGAGACAAGTATAGTTTAAGTTGCATTATGACAGGAGGTCCCCTGAGGCATCTGTAATAGTAAAAGTAATTTGCTTCTTAGCATCCATTTTGCTACCTCTGTTTGGGAAAACAAACAAACCAGCCTATAACTACCTGAATTTCCACTAAATTTCTACCATGCAGGTGTCTCTAAAGAATCCTGAACAGCAAGACATGAAACCACAAAGAATTCACATGGTCTGCACATTCAAAACTTCCAGGGATTTTGGAGACTTTGCAAAACTTTACATTCCTAAAGTTGTATATGCCACTTTACAGTTTAGAAGAGACCTTGCTTCAGAAAACAGTCAAAGGTAAATTCTCCCCTACATTGAGCCCCGAAATGGCCTCTGTGTAGAAGCACACTCTAATAGGTTCCTCAAGGTCAGGCCGTTGCCTTATTACAGGAAATGGATGAAGTCATTCCTGGCTCTCAGTTTTTCTGAAAAACTACCTGCTTTCTCAGTTTCACACACCACACCCCTCTATAGCTCTTGTTTTGCCTCCTTGGTCGTGGCACCTGTTCTGAGAACTGAAGCTTTCATCTTGGTTCTAGTTGCGCATGAGAAAACACGTTTCCAAAAACACAAACAAGCAAAGGGGTCCAAGGAAGAACTTCAGCTCTTGGGTGAAACAACAGCTAAATTTGTTCATAGTAATAATAAACACGCATGAGCTCACTCTTTCAGAAAGCAGTAATTTGAGCAGCAATTCTGAGGTCAGGATCCAAGGTTCTAGGCCAGCTCCAGCCCAGCCTGCTCTGACCAAAATGTATTTCTTCCAGACTCTCAGGGTCTTGCTTTCAGCCATTTGGGGGACAAGAAAGGAAGATGAGAAGAAAGGCAACAGACAAGAGAGATGGAAACTTTTTAATATGTCCTTAAAAGCCTCTTTATAGAGATGAGTAATAAAAAGATTGGGGCCAGCAAACATTTCCACATTTTCTCTAAACAGTTATAAAACTGAGAGTCTTCTAAGGTCAGAGTTAAAGTAGTACAGCCTTGTTTTTGTATTTTAAATGTTTTTTAATGGACCATTAAAATAGCCTCAGTACCAGTAAAAGGTGTGCACAGGAGTATTATTTGATTCAGGAGAGAGGTAATGGGACCCACCAAGTAGGGAGGTTACACAGTTCGGATGTGAACCCTCACTAATGCAAAGGAAGTCTCTCTGCACTGCCCCCTCTCCCATACACATTTTTTCTCTCCTCCTCCAATCAAGAAATGATATTCTGTGAGATCATTTATTTTATTTTTATTTATTTTATGTATGTATGTATGTATTTATTTATTTATTTATTTATTTATTTATTTATTTGTTTTAGGTGGAGTCTTGCTCTGTCACCCAGACTGGTGTGCCGTTCATGATCCTGGCTCACTGCAACATCCACTTCCTGAGTTTAAGCGATTCTCATTCAAGTGATTCTCATGCCTTAGCCTCCCAAGTAGCTGGGATTACAGGCATGCACCACTACACCCAGCTGATTTTTGCATTTTTAGTAGAGATGGGGTTTCCCCATGTTGGCCAGGCTGGTCTCCAACTCCTGATCTCAAGTAATCCACCCACCTCAGCATTCTAAAGTGCTGGGATTCATAATCCAGGGGTGCGCCATCATGCCCGGCTCATTTAATTTATTTTTACCAGTTAGAATTTGTTACTCTCAATTCATTCAAAAACCATTAATAGACAGTACCTACCAGCCAGAACTGTTGTTAAGTATTAAAAATACAGCATTGGATGAAACAAAAAACTCTACCCTCATAGAGCTGATATTCTAGTATAGAGAGACAGACAAATAAATAAGTAACATACACAGGAAGTAAGAAAGTGATTTCAGCACTTTGGGAGGCCAAGACCAGCAGATCACAAGGTCAGGAGTTCAAGACCATTCTAAACAACAGGGTGAAACCTCGTCTCTACTAAAAATACAAAAAATAGTATGGCATGGTGGTGGGCACCTGTAATTTCAGATACTCAGGAGGCTGAGGCAGGAGAATCACTTGAACCCGGGAGGCGAAGGTTGCAGTGAGCCAAGATCACATCACTGTACTCCAGCCTGGGCAACAGAGCAAGACTTCCATGTCAAAAAAAAAAAAAAAAAAAGTGGGATAGGAAAAAAATTCAGTAAGGAAGGGAGTAAAGTGTACACGGGGAGGAAAGGAAGAAGATGGAGGAAATGCAGTTTTAAATACGGAGGGCAGGAAAGGACTTGCTGCAGTGAAATTTCAATAATCACCTGAAGGAAATGAAGGGAATAGCATTTCAGGAAATAGCAAACAGAAAACTTCTGGGTCAGAGGCATGTTCAATGCACTCAAGGGGCAGCAAAGAACATGACGTCAGAAGGTCAGTAGGGAGCCATGTAGATTTGGCTGTTTCTGAATGAAAGTGGAGAAGATGGGGAGTTTTTGAAAAGTCACAGTTGCGCGCGGTGGCTCACCCCTATAATCCAAGCACTTTGGGAGGCCAAGGCGGGTGGATCACCTGAGGTCAGGAGTTCGAGACCAGCCTGGCCAACATGGTGAAACCCCGTCTCTACTAAAAATAGAAAAATTAGCCAGGCATGGTGGTGAGTGCCTATAATCCCAGCTACTCAGGAGGCTGAGACAAGAGAATCCCTTGAACCTGGGAGGCGAGGGTTGCAGTGAGCAGAGATTGTGCCATTGCCTTCCAGGCTAGATGACAGAGCAAGATTTTGTTGAAAGAAGAAAGAAAGTAAGGGAAGAGGAGGGGAGGGGAGGAGAGGGGAGGTCATGAGGTGACCTGATTTCCATTTTTAAAGGGCAGAGCTGACTGGACATGGGCAGGAAAGTCAGGGAAACCAGTTCTGTGGCTGCTCCAACACTCCAAGGAACTCCGGTGGTAGCTAGGAGCAGGTGGGTAGAGATGTCAGTGATAGGAAGTGGTTAAATTCCAGATAGCCAACAGGATACTCTGATGTTTAGATGACTCCATGGAAGACAGCAGTCAAGAATGACCCCTTGGTTTTTGGCTTAAGAACTGGAAGAAAGAATCTGCCATAAATCAAGATGGGATTCATTGTAAGAAGAGGAGGTTTAAAGGGGAGATGTGGAATCTGTTTTGGGTTTTTGGTTTTTGTTTTTTTGGTTTTTTTTGAGACAGGATCTCACTCAGTCGCCCAGGCTGGAGTGTAGTGGTGTAATCATAGCTCACTGCAGCTTCAGCTTCTCAGGCTCACACAATCCTCCCACCTCAGCCTCCCCAGTAACTGCACCATTATGCCCTACAGGCATGCACCATTATGTCCAGCTAAGTTTTGTATTTTTTTTGTAGAGACAGAGTTTCTTTATTGCCCAGACTAGTCTCCTACTTCTGGGCTCAAGTAATCTGCCCACCTCAGCCTCCTAAAGTTCTGGGATTACAGACGTGAGCCACCACCTCCAGCCCACTATTTGGCTTTAGACATGTTAAGTTTGGGAAAGTTCATAGAAATCCAAGTGAAGATGTCAGTAGCAGTTGGACAGACACTTCTGGAGTTCAAGGAGAAAGGGAGCGATAGATAGTGTTTAAAGCCATGACTCCAGATGTCAATTTGAGAAAGGAGAGAAGTCCAAGGACTGAATCTGAGGAGCTCCAGCTCTGAGAGATTGTGGAAATGTGGAGCAACCAGCAGAGGAGACTGTGCAGGTGTGTACTGAATCTATTTCCAGATCAAAACAGAGATCTACTACATTCCTTTTGGTGGTGTCAAAACAAACCATTATCTTGAAATAGTCAAAAAAAAAAAAAAAAAGAAAGAAAGAAAAGAAAAAGAAAGAGAAATACCAGGAGGGCAAAGTATGTCGAAAGCTGGATCAAGGGAGGTCTCAAGATGGAGGGAATGATCATTGAGGTTAAATGGGGCGAAATGGTCACATGAGATAAGAACTGAAAACTAACATTGGATTTACCAATGGTCCCAGGTAAGATTAATAAAGGCTGACTGCTACTGTAATATGGGAACTAGCCTGAGAGAAATCAATCAAGGTTTAGCTAAATAATTAGAAATTAGGAAAAAATCTTATCATCTCCAGTTGTCCTTTGTTTCATAAATCTTACTTTACAGGCCGAAGGTTATAAACACTCTTTTATCTTTTATCTATCCCTTATGCAAAAAAAAAAAAAAAAAACAGATAGAGGTTTTTATGTTCTCTCCAGTGACAAACTTATAACAATAGTAACACTTCTTAACTAATAACAGGAGGTTAACTATTTTTCACTTTTCTAGACTTCAGGAAAATATAGGTGATTTTTTTCTTCATTAAAAATAAACTTCTGTTTCTTTTCCAAATTATAACTGGAATTCAAAAATGTGTATTTCCATTGACTATTTTGACTTGAGTTTTTGTTCTCCGTTTACTCTCTCCTTCCTGCCACTTCTGAAGGTTTTCATTGTTTGTGGGAGCATCTGTGATTTCTCTCTTTGTATCCCCCTGCAATCTCTGACTCCTCTCCAGGTCCTCATTCTGCATCATCGTAGTCAGTTTTATCTTGGGCACCATAAAATTCTACTTCTTCCCGCAGTAGCAGACTGATGTCACCCACAGAACATAATGGATTCTAGGAACAGGCCCACAGAGGAAAAGTGGGTGAGTATAAAGATAGGTAAGAGGAAGAGAGAAGCTGGAGGCTGGGGATCTTAACCATGTGTTTCCACTCATTTCCACATAAAACAGTTAAACCAGAAACTGCAGGATATTGAAATTCCATGTCTTGGGCCAAACTTTTACCTAACTGATTTGACACGTTGAATAGAAACACTATGGCAATATCTATGCACCCAAACTGTTGCAACTGGTTGGGAGCCAACATATTAAAATGCAATCAGGCTGGTGCGATGGCTCACACCTGTAATCCCAACACTTTGGGAGGCTGAGGCAGGTGGATCACTTGAGACCAGGACTTCGAGACCAGCCTGGTCAACATGGTGAAACCCTGTCTCTACTAAAAATACAAAAATTAGCCAGGCACGGTGGCACACACTTGTATTCCAAGCTACTCAGGAGGTTGAGGCAGGAGAATCGCTTGAACTAGGCAGGTGGAGGTCACAGTGAGCCAAGATCACGCCACTGCACTCCAGCCTGGGCGAGAGTGAGTCCTTGTCTAAAAAAAAAAAAAAAAAAAAATCACAATCAAATAACCCATTTGGAGAATAACTTCCTATTTGCATAAATTTTCCAAACTGGTTTGTGTGTATAGAAATTCTCTACTTCTCGATGGCTGACAGGACAAACCAAAATAGTGACAGTTTGTAGGATCTTTTTGGCAGGCTATCATAATCCTAATTTTAAAGCACGTCAGCAGTGTAGTCAGTGACTGTGTGACTATGCTAGCAGTGTAGTGAGTATGTTAAAAAGCCAAAAACTTCTGATTTATTCATTACGGTGAATCTCAGAGTATGATCAGCAAATTAAAGTTACTACACGTTCAACATTAGATTTGATGATTTGGTGTTCTCGGCTCTTTCAAAAAATTATGACTGAGAATAAAGGAAAGGTACACACTCTGGATGCAATGAAATGAATTATTTAATTAGTCTATTGGTCTTATTAGAACCTAGTAGCTCCAGGAAATTCTTAACAAATATTTTTCTCCTGCAATATCCTCTAAAAGAGAAAAAGCAGTAAAGCACAGAAAGAAACATCACACTGCTCGGAACCCTCGTAAATAGTTTCTGAATGTTAGCATTTTTAGAAAAGAATATTAAATATTTTTAAATGCTGAAGACATGTTAAATTAAGTACTATCTGTTGAAAATAACATTTTAATTCTAGAGTTTAGTCCTTTCCATTGTGGTGAATTTGATGCATTGAAAAGAAGTAAAAGAATATTTTTTTCTACAGTTTGGCAATTTTGAACTATAATTTTTTTATTCTGGTGAAAAACATTTTGCAGAAAATTATGGAAACATACCTAGGGACCCTGCAGTAATATTATAGATTTCTAAAAAAAAAAAAAAAACATTGCAATATAGACATGAAAATTGAATTCAAGATTAGGAAGTAAACTGAGAAAACAATATTTAAAAATAATGCAGTTTAAATGTGTCATTGACTCAACATTTCCCCCATATTCTAAATCAATATTAATAATACATTTCAGAGTGCATCCGTTTTTGCCATTGCTAATTTTTCTCTATTATGCCAGAGTATGAGTAAGATTTTTGCTATTTTTTAAAAAGGCTACATTAAGATTCAGCCTCAAAAGAGGTTCAATTCCTAGTAACTGCAGGTGCATGGCACTTACTGCTAATTGGACATGACAGCTTTTAGCAAATCTGGTAGCTGCTAAAAGCCGCTGTTGCTGTGGTGCTGCCTCACCAGCACGCAGGGCATGGTACCTCTCCGCTACCAAAGCTCCATGTCCACAAAATTTGCCAACTAAAATACCCAGCCAACTCCTTCACTTAAATGCATAGAGACGGAAATCTCAAAGAGCTATCAACAAGGTCTCTGCAAGAAAATGCAGCCCTCTTAATGCATATTAAATAGTCTCATTAAAATACTTCAGTAATGCATCTTTCTGTTAGAATCTGTTGTTCTGAGCCCTATAACCATGTGGGGTAGGTTTCAAAATAAAATGCTGCTATTAGCACATTAAATAATTATCTTCTCTCCTGTGTGCCATACCCACTGGCTGGTACACTGTCGTTTTGGAAAATATTGTGAACCAAGTTATATCTGTGCCTCATATCATCTTTTGTGTTTATGTAGGATGTTTGTTCTGAGAAAACTAAAAATACTTGGTTTAAATTGGATCACATTTTACCAGTTAAGTGAACCTTACCAGGTAAGTCTCCTGGTTTGGATATTAACTCTTTCCATTTGGGTTTCTTTTTCCCCTAAATTTCTACCTTCAGTAGAAGTGTTCACTTTTATCAACAGTGATTTTGAAAAACATTCAAAGTCTGACGAAACTGCCATCAGAGCACCATTGCTGTCATCCATTTTCCAAGACCCTGCATCTTATTCTTAGCATTATGTGCATTCTATGATGATAAGCTGGGTTATCAGAAAGGAGTCACAGGGACCACGTGAGAAGAGAAAAGTCCAGAAGTAGTAACATTAAAATAATCAAACTTTCACTCTCAAACAGATAATGAACGAATTGCCTGGCTGTACAATTATGGACCAAATACATGTAAATATTATACAAGTGAGCATTTGTTTCCACCTGTTTTCTAGTTTGACCCCATAAATCATAGGCCTCAAAAAAATCCCAGTGCAGAGCCTTTCCCTAAAGAAGTTAATATCACCCATTTTAGGCAAATTTGTCCAGGATCATATGGCAAAGTCGGGCTCAGCCAAAAATTGAGTTCACTAATGCTGATGCCAAGCTAATTAATGTTTCCTTAAATATCTAAATTGTCTATCAAATGCTGTTCTAAGTGTCTGAAGACTAGTACTCAGACTCTTAAACAATTTAAACTTCAGTTCTCCAAGGCTGTCTGCTTTTACTGCATTTCGCATAAAAATATTTTTCCTCTATTTGGGTTAATTTTCCAGGTTCTCCTCAAATAATCATTGGGCTTCTGGAACAAAAGCTTACAGAAACAAGATGAACAATTTGAACTCTGACTTGTATTTTCTATTTGTCAGAACGTGATTTTTTTTTCAACTTTCTAATCACAGTTATAAAGTCAAGCCTGATTTTCAGAACGAAGTTTACCTGATTGTCAATAACTTCTCAAGTCCCCTATCTTCAAAAATGGCACATTTGATGGCAAAATACATAACCTGTCTGAAAGGTCTTGTTTTTACTGTTAGAATTCGAGAAGAAACTTCTATTTCAAAAAAAGCAAAGGATTGTCTCTCACCCTAGAGGAAAACCATGTTGGAAAGCTTGGCAAAGTTATACCTGGTCATTTACAATTTTTTATTAGAAACTTGGGAAATGTTCTTCACTAAAAGAAACCTTTTAAAATTCCTAGAGAAGTAGGTTCCTTGCTCACCGGCATTGTGAGAACATTGACCTATATCTGGGAAGGAGGAACCAAATACCACCTCTCCCTGTTGCCCACCATCCCACTAAACATACTCTACAAATTACCAGTCACCAACTCTTCATCAGTGTCCAGACTGCCATTAACTGCCATTGCTGAGAATGACTGATTACACAGCATCAATTATCAGAGACAGTAACAAAGATAACTTTTACTTCCTGGAAAACTTTTGCCATAGGAAAAAATATACTCACAAGTGTACAAAAAGAAAAATTCAATCCTGTAAATGTGGATATACATAACCAGAGCTGAATTTTTTTCATGAAGAGTTTGAATACATAAAACTCTTGAATCTACATGAAAAAATAAACCATGAATATCCTAAAAAGCAAGTATTAGTTTACATGACACAATATGAAATGTATCTAAGTGTCTTTCTCTGATAACACCCAGCTATACTCATGTCCCCCTCCCTTGTTCCTTTTATATTTAAAACCTGACATGTCACACAATTAGCATCTTATGTAAATCATATTTCATAGCATTTATTAGCTGAGTGTTGAAATCATATTTATTATGTAACCATAAGATGTTCTATAGGCTAATCCTATTCACTAATCACTAGAGGTCTCTATAACTTGTTTCTCAATGAGATTGTAAGATCTGTGTTAATAGAGATCTATCTAGCAGTTCATTTTCCCCCATGGAGCTAAATTTATCACAGTGGCACAGCGAGCTGCCTCTCTGCCTGCCTCCCAGACTGGGGACTCTATGATCCCCTTCCTCCAGAGTAATATGGAGACACAGGGTGACCCAGCTGGAATTCATTTTCCAAGTCCACCCTGCAACTAAAAGTGGATTGCCAATGTATTTTGAGAAGTAATGTGTACAATTTTCATGTTTATTGCTTAAGGGGAAATGCCTATGGGGACAGGTTGTTCAGCAGGTACAAAGTTGCAGTTAGATGGGAGGAATAAGTTCTGGTGTCCCATTGCACAGCAGGGTGACTGTGGCTAACAATAATGTATTGTATATTTCAAACTAACTAGAAAGGAGGATTTTTAATGCTTTACCACAGAGAAATGATAAATGTTTGAGATGATGGATTTGCTGATTATCCTGATTTCATCATTACACAATGCATACACATGTCAAAACCTCTCATTTTATCCCATGAATATGTACAGTTATTATATTCAATTAAATTAAAAATAATTTTTAAAAATGGCTGACTCTCTTGTCCACTTTTTCCCCTTTTCCACAAGCTTTTTTTTTTTTTTTTGTCTTTTCCCAAAAGCAATTTCCCAAGTATTTGAGTATCCTTTTTTTTTTCACAGTAGCTTAGCCTATGGTCTCACTAATATACACAGCTTATTGTATAATATCTACCTCTATTTCATGTCCATTATGCTTATTGATTTATATATGTGTCTTCCTTAGTAGACTATATATTACTTGTGAGGAATGTGTGTTTCTTATTCAACCTTCTTCTCGCTAACACTTAAAGTTCACCTAGCATACAATAAATGCTGAATAAATGCCAATTGAATAGGTAAAAGAACCAATCAACTTCACTTAGCAAATGGATATGCTATGTATTAAGGCAAATTTAGACACAATCTCTATGCCTGCATGTTTCTTAGAAATTTGAAAGCTTTGGCTGGGCACGGTGGCTCAAGCCTGTAATCCCAGCACTTTGGGAGGCCGAGGCGGGTGGATCATGAGGTCAAGAGATCGAGACCATCCTGGTCAACATGGTGAAACCCCGTCTCTACTAAAAATTTAAAAAAAAACAAAAAAATTAGCTGGGAATAGTGGCACGTGCCTGTAATCCCAGCCCCGTCTCTACTAAAAATAAAAACGAAAACAAAAAAATTAGCTGGGAATAGTGGCACGTGCCTGTAATCCCAGCTACTCAGGAGGCTGAGGCAGGAGAATTGCCTGAACCCAGGAGGCAGAGGTTGCGGTGAGCCGAGATCGCACCATTGCACTCCAGCCTGGGTAACAAGAGCGAAACTCCATCTCAAAAAAAAAAAAGAAATTTGAAAGCTTTTACCATATTATCTGGAGTTCAACTTCAGTACATTTAGGAAGTTGAACTTCAAGCTTTATAATAACATAAACTCAATTTGCCTTTTATAGGTCAAATCCACTTTTGCTGAACTATTTTTTACCTCTCATATTGGCCAAGATGGGAAAGTATGATAACACACAGTGTTAAGTTGGAAAGACTGTGGGCTAACAGGCACGCTCATCCCTGTTGATGGGAATGTAGAACAGTATAACTTATTTTTTCCTGGGAATATCTTCACAAATGTACTCAAGAACAATTGTGCGTGAATGTTCACGACATTACTTATAAGAGCAAAACCAACCAAAATGCCCTTTCAGAGAAAAGCTGTTTATATGAATGATGGCACATCCTCACAAAAAATACTCTGCTAAAAGTTAAAAGAATGAGGCAGGTCAACCTGTTCTATAGCAACTGCTCTGAGGTATATTATTAAGTGAAAAAGAATGATACAAAATAGTATACTCCTAGATGTGTTTTTAAAAATTTATATCTAGGGATACATCATATGTGCGTAGACAATTTTCAAGGACTATAGGGAAAAAAATTGTAATCTGAGAGGCTGTCTGGGCCTGGAAAATACTTTCCCCACACTGTTTTAATTTTACTTTTATTCCATGAATAAGTTAGTTTTTTCAGTAGTTTTACCACTTCATACCCACTATGACAAAACAGATAATAACAAGTGTACATGGCAACGTAGAGAAATTGGAGCTCTCACACATTGGAATGTAAAATCAGGCAGGCATTTGGCAGTTCCTGGAAGTGCTAAATATAGAGTTACCATTTGACTCAGAAATTTCTCTAATGGGCATATGCTCAAGAGAATCAAAAATGTGTGTCCACACAAAAACTCACACACAAACGTTCATGGCAGTTTTATTTGTAATAGCCAAAAAGTGGAAATCCAAATGTTCACCAACTCATGAATGAGAAAGTAAAATGTGGTCTATATCCACACAATGAGATTTTATTTGGCAATAAAAAGAATGAAGTTCTGATACATGCTGCAACATAAATGACCCTTGAAAACACTATACCAAATGAAGTAAGCCAGACACAAAAGCCCACATATTGTGTTGTTCCATTTATATCAAATGGCCAAAATTAGAGTCCATGGAGACAGAAAGGAATTAATTGTGGCAGTGATTACACAACTCTATGAATGTACTGAAAACCACTGAGCTTTGGACTTTAAATGGGTGAATTTTATTTTATTTTTATTTTTATTTTTTTCGAGACAGAGTTTTATGCTTCTTACCCAGGCTGGAGTGCAATGGTGAGATCTCGGCTCACCACAACCTCTGCCTCCTGGGTTCAGGCAATTCACCTGCCTCAGCCTCCTGAGTAGCTGGGATTACAGGCACGTGCCACCATGCCCAGCTGATTTTCTGTATTTTTAGTAGAGACGGGGTTTCACCATGTTGACCAGGATGGTCTCGATCTCTTGACCTTGTGATTCACCCGCCTCGGCCTCCCAAAGTGCTGGGATTACAGGCGTGAGCCACCGCGCCTGGCCCTGAATTTTATATTTTTATGAAAAATATATCTCAGTAAAACTGAAAAAAGTTTTAGAAGCATTATCACGTGCATAGTTGCACCTGATCTTCATATCCATTCTGAGAGGTAATGGTTGCAAAGAGCAGATGAGATTGTGTAGACGACAAAACCCAGAAAGAAAGACAGCAATGTCTTTAAAGAAAGTCTATCATCATAAACCTCGGTATTTACCTTTCAGAAATGTTTCTATAGTAAAAGAAAAACTTTACTCAGGGTTTGCCTCCCACAACCCATCTGCCTATTCAATGATTCATTCAATGGAAACTCTTCCAGTCACCCAGAATGTATTTGTGCTGCATTCACTGAATCTCCCAGTGTTCCCTCAGCTTCACAATCTAAGAGCTTTCTGGGTACAAAATGTTCTATCCATCACACTTTCAATTTATGAACTACTAACTGACTAAAAAGGAAAGGATTTTAGATCATCGATTAGTCCGCGTTTTAAAACCATTCACTTAAAAGAGACATACGTGTGTATTTTTTGTAGATGACAATATCGATGTGTGGGACAACACAAGGAAGATAGAACAACCTAAGAATGGATAGCTTGTGCTAGAAAATCAATTACAAAACCTTACATGGCTTTTCCTCCCTGCCAGGTGCCATTCCAGCAGGTTGCATATATTAACTCATTTAATGCCACCACGATCCATTATTAACCATATTTTACAGATGAGAAATCTGGGGTTGTGAGGAGCTTGCCCAGTGGCATGCATGCAGCTAGCAATGGCCAGAGCCAGGATTGGCACCAAACACTTGACTCCAGAATCCCTGCTCTTGACCACTATTCTACTCACTCCATACCTAAATCCTAGTCTGTTATGTAAAAGATTTGTGACATAGTGTGTTTTATCTCATAATACTTTAAAGTTAAATTACATTCATATTGTCACCCTAATTCGTACCTTTTTCCTCCTCATTCAGACTCAGTTAAGATCATCTTTATATTACAAATAACATTTCAGCCTCAACTACCATATCACATGTAATCATGATCATATTAGCTGTTAAACAGCTTTGATTAATACCTTTTCTCTGTATTTTGATGTAAAATACACCCGAGGTATTAAAAGTTTTGACTTTTGTGTTCAGATGCGTAAGGCTGGTTATAAAACACAAAAATAATCATGGCTCATTTAATACAATCACTGAAGCCCCTCATCATTGTTTCAGGGACAATTTAAAGTTATCATCTTTTTCATGAGCTATGTCTAAAATGACACAAACCCCACAAATTTAATTTAGTGTTCTCATTAGAGAAGATAAGTTGAAAAATTAAAACAAGAATTATCATCTGATCCTGCAATCCTAATCCTTTTTCTGTGTATATATCCAAAATAATTGAAAGCAGAGTTCTCGAAGAGATTTGCACACCTGTGTTCACAGCAGCATTATTTACAAAAGCCAAGAAGTGGAAGCAACACAAGTGCTTACCAACAGATGAATGGATAAACAAAATGTGATATAGACATAAAAGGGAGTATTATTCAGCCTTGAAAAAGAAGAAAACCCTGTCATGTGCTACAACATGGATGAACCTTGAGGACATTGTGCTCAATGAAATTATCCAGTTACAAAAAGACAAATACCATATGACTCCATTTACATGAGGTATCTAAAGTAAAATTCACAGAAACAGGAAGAATAATGGTGGTTGTTAGGCCTTGACAGGAGAGGGAAATGGGGAGGCAGTTGTTGGTAAATGGGTTAGAGTTTCAGTTTTACAAATTAAAAAACTCTGGAGATGTGTTGAATATCTTAACTAGCAAACTGATTTTTTTTAAAAATCAAGATGGTAAAATTTATATGTTTTTACCATAATTAAAAATAACATAACTTTTTTAATTAATGACTTCTAGTTTTACCTCAATGATGAAAGTCTCTGGTAAAGAGGCCTTGAATACAGGTGTCAGAATGTGAAAAATATAAACCTGTGACATACGAAACTTACCAACAGAGTCTTAGAGTTTGGGATGATGGATGGTTGATTATTTAAAATATAACTTAATGATCATGATTATATATGTCATAATTCGTGAATGTTTAGTCTAACTATAAAATGAAGGTTTGTTTTCTTCCAAATTATGCTAAAATAGATTGCTAGTCATGAAAATGTACTTTTTTATGGATTCCTTGAATCATTTCCATAGGATAACACCCATTAATTAAAGTCAGTGGATGTCCCATAAGCAGCAATGCCACCGTAAGCAAGTGAACCCATACCATGCATATATATCTAAGCCAAATGTCACACTCAGGTCAGAAAGAGACCAGCTGAGAAGCCAGGGATGGCTGGGATAGGATGACAAGTGGGAGGGGAGAAGGAAGACAATAACATTAGAAGGTAGATGAGGTCAGGCTAGATAGGACCTGGAATTTTATGTTGAACATTTGAACTATTTTTATAGAAGCTAAGGAAAAAATGAAGCTTTTTTTGTTAAGGAAAGGACATAATCGTATCTGTGTATAAGATGAATAACTAGTGGCATAGTGGGAGATGAACTCTGGTGGAGAAAGACTAAGAGCAGGGAGAGCTGTGAGGAGGCTACTTCAACAGCCTGGATGAGACAGAATGGAAGGATGAAAATGG